AACATGAAAACATATATCAATTGGCATTTACATTTCACTATGTCTTCTTTTTTAATTTATGGTATATGAGTCTAGAATATGTTAAGTTTACTTTACCACACATTTCTTCATCTGAACCATCTGCACACTGCTCGATACCATCGCAAATGTCATGTATTGGTAAACAATCAGAGCAATCTCGACAAGTGAACTCGTGAGGGCAGGTGCAATCTGAAATGAGATTCATATTTGTTGGATTACATAATACACTTTCTAACAATATACACACTGAACAAAACGGTTACTAAATTTGTCAGAATTAAACAATCAGTTTTTGAACACGTATTAGATGCTAGGAAGTCCCTATAAACAATGAAATATAGCGAAGGGACTTTCTTATTGGTCCTATCAATTTATTTAATGTTATGAAAACAATTTGCTACATTTTGTGGCAATCTCACTTCTCCTGGCGTCACTTAATTTTGGATTAATTAATTCTTGTCTTTAAGTATGTACTATGGCTAAGTTGTTGTATGTTTTCATATTGCAACATTGTTGTGACTGTACAAAGGAAGTTGTAAATTATGCGTATGAAACTTATTTGCATTTGCATTGGGTGAACTTGAAGGGATTAATGATAAGGACATTGAACATTGATAAGGACTTTCCCACGGAAGTTGCAAGTTACCCGAGAAAATCTTGTGCAGGCCTGCTTTAAACAAATATAACTTACTACATCCATATTCATCACTTCCATCTCCACAGTCGTCATGACCGTCACACTGATGTATGGCAGGAAGACAAGGACCGGTATCACAGGAAAATTCTCTGACATCACAGAACTCTGTTGAGGCAATGCACAACATGAATTTTCAGAAAGGTTAAATTCAACGTAATTATTTATTTGTTACGTTTATAAAATAGTTAGTTATAAAAACTGAAACACCAACTTACTGCAGTCTTCTTCATCAGCGTGGTCATCAGCCCCACAGTCATAGTCATGGTCACATAAAAATATTCTTGCAATGCATTTCTTAGAATCAGGACACTGAAATTCACCTTTTCCACACTTTGGAGGACCTAACAATGATAATGTATTCAAAATATAGATATAACACATATAACAATGGGATATGATAATGAACACTGCCATAAGCTTTCAAGTAAGTATACTGTTACTTGGTATATGGGCAATGAATTACAGGAAAGAACATGAATGGAAAAATATTAACATATCACCTTTTAAAGTGTACACTGAGCGCTAGATTTTATTTCATATTCTACTATCTTGTACACTTAAAGTAGCTAAATTATTAAGATTCATATCAATAATACATTTTATTCACTACAATTCCAGAAAATTGTCCAGCAATCCCATAATAATGAAATAATAATAAAATGACATTTTTTCTTTATCCTGTTCGATATTGGACTCAACGCGTGTAAAATACATTGTTTGTTTACATGAAATTCAAACACACGCTGCGCGACGACCACCACCCTTTAATTTGCATGGTCCCCTACCCTACTTAACTAGGTTAACTTACCACAGCCATACTCATCCGAGTGATCATTACAGTCTGGTAATCCATCACATCGAAAGTTCTGTGCTACACAATCCCCAGATGTACATGTAAATTGGTTTTCCTCACATGTGTGCACTGAAAGTGAACCAAACCATGTTAGGTGAAACTATACAATTATGATAATAATAATAATTGGTTATCTTGCAAATGATATTTGAAACTTAAATCCAACAAGGACACTGATATTGACTAGTTTCTAGGGTTAGCAACATTGGAAAGGGGCAATACACAATACACCTGTAGCGCCCTCAAGCAAAGTGTGTCTGTAACGTAAATAGATGCATTTGCAGCATCAATGTTTTCAATCTGCAGTTGCTGTTCCATCGATAAAAAATCATGTTTTTCAAGAGACATTATTGTATTCTCACTACAAACTAACAAATAGTCATTTGGAGTGGCATTGGTTTCCAAGTACTTTTGATGTCACAAAAGTGATTCATTGCTTGAAGAAGCAAGCTGTAAAAGAAATACTATTTATGTTAAAACTGTTACAGTATCTTACCACACTCTGTTTCGTCACTTCCATCGTGGCAGTCGTTGCCACCATCACAGACCCAGCGACCAGGAATGCAACGTCCGTTGCCGCATGTGAATTCTCCAGGCAAGCATGTTTTCTCTGTAAAATAAAAAGTACTTTTTTTTATTCTGTTTTGATTTTGATTGTTACAGTCAACAAGTACAGACCTGTAAAACTTTGTTTCAAACGTTCAACAAATGTTTATAGGATGCAATTCGATTAACTATATTTTTTTTTATATATTTAATTTGTTATTTATGTAGTTTTTTAAAGTGAAGTATAGAGAAGTTACATGAGAGATACTTAAAAACGATCATTATGTGGGAGCATGTCCATTATTTGGCACTTTAAATACCTGAAAATACACACCATCCAATACATCAGTTAGTATTCAGAATAAAAAATGTCATTTGAGGCCATTAAATAATCAACATTAT